ACTCGGCCTCAGACTCCCCACTTTCCTCAACCTCCACCGGCTTGATCTTGCGCACCTCCCGCGGCTTTGGCGGCGGTCGGGCAGGGGCCACTCGGTGCTGTGGGGGCTGCTGCCCTCCAGGGCCACGCTCCTTCTCGGTCGCGGCATCCCCCGACGGGGCAGGAGGCGGCGGCGGCGGCTGGAACACCCGGGACCGCTTACTGACCAGCTTCGAGTTGACCTGGGGCGCCCCCGCGGCCCGGGGGGGCCCGGGCGCACGGTGAAGGCCGGTCCTCGAGTCGGCTTTCTCGAAGACCGCACTGAGCTGGCTGACCGTCGGCGACACGGCGTCAGCATCCAGCTTGTCCAGCGCCTCGGTGCTGCCGTTGAAGCGCACCACGACGTCCAGCTTCCGGTCCTGCAGGCCGGCGCGCTCCTGTCTCAGCAGCCGCCGCGCCGCGGCCTCCTTGTCGCCACCCGTGGCCGCGGGGACGCTCCGTTCGAACAGCTTCCGCGTCTCCTGCAGCCGGGACGGCGGGTGCGGCGGCGGAGCCGGCTGCGCCGAGGGCGCGGGCTTGGAGTCGAAGCGGCTCACGCGCTCCGACACGCTGGTGCCCAGTTTGAGCAGGGCGCTGTGGTCCACGTTCTCGTTCAGGCTGCTGGCCCGCGGCAGGGACAGGCGCACGCCGCGATCGGACGCCCGCGGGGCCTCGGCCATGCCTGCGCCGCCTCCCGCCTCACCCGGCGGCCCCGCGGTGGTGCCCATCTGCAGGAACATACTTTTGATGCGGTGGACATTGGAGCCATATTTCTTATGGTGGGCCGCCTTGGGTGCCTCGTCGGGCCCGGGCGCATCGGAAGGCTTCAGTGCCTGGATGCCCGCTTCGTAGGCGCTGCGGTGCGGGGAGGCGCTCCGGAGGGGACCCCCGGGCCCCCGAGGCTCCGTCTTCATCATGGTGGGGGGAGCCGGGTTCGCATCCCCCCGCTCCCCGCTGCCCCCCTCCAGCAGGCGGCTGGCCAAGTCGGGACCACCGCCCCCTCCCCCCAAAGAAAGAAATCCCGAAAGGCCTTCTATAGAGTCCCCCAGAAACCAAGCTGCCAAAAAACAGTTAACCCTGCTCTAAAGGGAAAAAAAAAAAAAAAAAAAAAAAAAAAAAATCTCCGAGCGCCCTGTGTGGGTCGCCTCCCCCAACCAAGCTGCCAAAGACAGCCAGCCCCCTTCGAAAGCTCGAGCGGCCTGGTGCGGTCGCCCCCACCCAAATTGGAGAAGCGGAGGCTGGCTGGAGCCGCTGGGACCGCGCGCCCAGCCCGCGAAGCAGCGGCCGCCGCGCCGGCTCACATCCTCCGAGGCGGTGTCAGCGGGGCTGGCGGCGCGGGCGCCCCCTGCTCCGGCCGGTGGCCTTGGCTCTCGGGGTGCCCGGCATCCCCGCGCCCGTGGCTGCTCCGCTGACCCGGGCCGCTCCGCCGCGCCTCCCTCCCTCCCTCCCTCCCCCCCGCGCCCCGAGCCTCGGTCTTTCTCTAGCTCAGCCCGAACCGCGGCTGCCGGAGACCGAGCGGCTGCCCTTCTCGCCGCCGCCGCTGGGGGACTGGCACCACTGGGTCCTAAAGGGATCGGATTTCCGGGGCCGGAGCCTGTGGGCCCTCCCCTTCCCTTCCACTCGGTCGTCTCGTCTCTCCTACTCCTAGTTGGCGGGCAGCCTTCCGCAGCTCCTCGGACCTTGGCTATTCTTCTTCAGCCCTCCCATCCCAAACTCGGCGGCTTTTCGCAACCCACATAGGCGTACCCTCATTTAACCCTGGGGGCGGGGAACCATCCAGACGCAGCGGTCTCCCGCCGGCTGATCGTCCCCACATTGTGAAGGGGTTCTGTGAGGAGGGACCCTGAATCATTCATTCCCTTAAAGGTCCCTGGAGTGTTTAGGGCTATCGGCATCAAAACTGTTGGGTGCTAGGCCAAAGCACATGTATCTAGCTCCTTCCAAACTTGGTGCTGGGAATCTCAGAGGCAGGACCTGAGTCCTGCATTTTAACAACCGCCCCCCCCCCCCCATAGGGAGTTTTTTTCACCTTCCAGGATGTGAAACTTTGGCCCGGCAATACTTGGGGTGCTGAGGAGAAATGAAGAAAAGGAGGGAGGGCGGGGGGTGGGGTGGGCAAGTCACCCAAATGGCAGGAGAATTCCGAGCTGCCTCTTGCCTTTGGAAGTTTTAAGATGATGTTCATCACCTGCCCACTCTTTTTCCAGGCCTCAGGAGGGTTGTCGAATCCTGGCCTTCATAACCTGCCGGAGAACTCCTATCTCTCAAAACAGGAAGGGTTGGGAGGGTGTTGGGGGAAGTTGGAAGAAATGATTCTAGAGGCCTAAGGCCAAAGTTTCCCTATTGACAGTTCTAGCTTGGGTCTCGCATTTAAAGGATTCTGGTCACTGTGTGCAAGTTGTGTGTGTGTGTGTGTGTGTGTGTGTGTGTGTGTGTGTGTGTGTAAGAGAGAGAGAGAAAGAGACCACAGGAGCCAGGCAGTGGTGGTGCATTAATCCCAGCAATCAGTAGGCAAAGGCAGGCTCATCTCTGTGAGTTCAAGGCCAGTCTGGTCTACAGAGCGATATCCAGGACAGCCAGAGCTGTAACACAGAGAAACCCTGTCCCGAAACAACAAAACAATCAAGAAAGAGTGTGTGTGTGTGTGTGTGTGTGTGTGTCCTACAAATCTCTTCTTGAAAACTCAGTTTCTTTAGAGTGCCTTCATTCCTCACACACACAGCAAGGGGCCTGGTGTTGCCCTTTATCCCTCCTCAATTGCCCGGAACCTGGCAGTGAGGATCCATCCAACAGTCAGGTCTAACTGTGTTGATCCAGTCTGTATATGCCAGGAATGGATGAACAGAGTGGACACTAGGACCCAGAGAACAACTCAGGCACAAAGCCTCCCCCCCCCCCTCCTCCCCAGCTGCTTCCTGCATCTCAGGCCTTCCTGCGGCCTCGGCCTCCTCCCCCGCCCTCTTCCCTTCCATCCTCTTCCTCCTCTTCCCGTTCTCCCACTCTCTCCGGTTGGCCTGGCCGAGCTGGTGGAGGGAGCCCTCCTACCCTTCCATTCTCGGTGTGTGGGTTTTGTGGGACTCTAACCCATAGCACGTGCAAAAGAGCTCGGTGCTTGGGGGATGGGACGTGGGGAAACCGCCTGGGAACCCTGAAGATTGGGATGGGGAGGAGCCAAGAAGCACTGGACTGGCTCCCTCCAGTAGGGTGCCAGGAGAGGGAAGATTTTGGCTCTTATCTGCAGCAGGACCTTAGGCTTTCAGATGCCCCCTTCATTTTTGCACAGCAGGAGACTTACCCCTCCCCAGTTCTGCACGTGGGGGATCTGTGCAGGGTAGAGAAGCCATCCAGGTGCCTCCTCACCTCCTGACCCTTCTTAGAAGCCCTCTTTCCTGAACAAGCTTTAGGACTTGTTCCCAAGTTTAAGTCTGGGATTTGAACCTCTCCCCCACCCTCCCCCGACTATGGCAGTTAGTTGGCGGTTGTGTGTGTGTGTGTGTGTGTGTGTGTGTGTGTGTGTGTGTGTTTGAGAAAGAATCTGGACTATCCCATGCTGGATTTGAACTAGCCATTGTAGCCAAGGATGACCTTGAACTTCTGATCCCAACAGGCTTTCCTGAGGCTCTAACCCAGGCTCTCCTGCATGCTAGGCAAGCATCTAGCAACTGAGTACATCTCAAGCTCCCACTGTGACAGTTGGGCGATGCCCTGCTGCTCACCCCTTTGCTAGCTGGGAATTTGAGCAGAGTGTCCTTACAGCTCCTGTGTGGATTGGGGGAGGGTGCGGGCCCCTGGGTGTTCTGCCCAGAATCTCCCACACCCTTAGTGGTGAGTCATTTTAACTGGTCCCAGCCCAAGGGGTCTGTGCCCACACTCGGGGCCAGGTGGGAGGAGGGGTTGAGAACCAGCTGTTGGCCCCTTCCCCTAACATCCTTGGCAGAAAACTAAGATGAACTGGACTTAATAGGCACCCTCAGATCTCCCTTGTCCCGTGATTTCTCAGAGTGAGACCCCTTCAAGGGCTTTGGGTTGTGAGAAAGTAAAGTGAGCAAGGAGCTTGGGTGACGGAGGCTAGTAAGTAGAGATTATTATTTCCTGGGTTCCTACATGGCAGAGCAAAGACACCCAAGCTGGAATTTCGGAAGGAGCTTTAAGGGAGTGAGTGAGAATTACGTTACCATCACCCTTTCCTTGGAGTCAGGCTCCAAACAATCTGCCTATGAGGTGGGTGGGGCATGAGGGGTCACCTCCTCCATCCTGTCGTCCCCCCACCCCCCAGTCTGAGCTAAACTTTCAGCCCTCAGGCCATGATGGTCATCCCCGGATAATTTAAAACTTCGGCTCTCCCCAGGGCCCATGTGGAGGAAACTTTGATGTCATGGCCACTGTCTTGGTCTTGGGATGACGGGTCCTTCCATTCCTTTGTCCTGTCTGGGGGTGGGGGTGAAGTGGTTCCCAAAGTTGAGCCGGGATTCAGGTCTTGGCTGTACCACTTAGTGTCTGTGCGCCTTTGCAGAAGTCACGTGTCTCTTTTGTGCTCTGAGGGGAGAAACTGAGGCCTGGGAGAGTTGCCGGATGCTTATGACCAGGAGACGCCTTCTCAGCCATGGCTAAAGGGTGGGAGCTGCAGTAGGCAGTGATAATCCTCCCTCTCTCCTAGCCAAGCCCTTCTTGTGTCCTCCCGTCCCATCTGGTGAGGGCCCTCTGGGAAGGTGCTCTTGGATGATCATGCCTGGAGGCTTGCTGGCTTTAAATGCCAGGTGTAACAGCAAGGGTGGTGATAAGGACGGGTGGGGAGAACCCGATGTAGGATGAGTTCCCAGCCTTCAGCACCCTGGGCTCAGGTGTGGGCTGCGTGCCAAGACTGGCTGCTTTTCCCAACCCTGGGCCTTTGAGACAACTTCTGAAAGTAGTTGTTTTTTTTTTTTTTTTTTGGCCACTGTCATCAGAAAAGAAGCTGCTCTTTTGCCTGGTCTATGGTAAGTCCATAACACTTACCCCAATTCCTCTATGTGGTCGGCCAGGGCTTTGAGCTAGTTGTGGGATCCAAGGAGGCTTGTGTTCCCGCACTTCCAAATACGAGAGCTCAACTCTAGCATGGGGTGTCTGAGAAGGTTAGAGACCTTTGGATAACCTAGTCACAGGGGGCAGGAGGAGTGAGCAGTGGTTCACAGTTTTAGAGACCCAACTAGGGTTCTGCAGGTCTCAGTTGAGTCCTGGCTCCTCCCATTTGCTAGATGGCCTTGGGCTAGTCATTTTGGATTCCATAGTTGCTAACAGGCCCAACTTGAATGTCTGAAATCTTCTGACCGTGGATGACCCTGGGTGTCTCCTCCTTCCTATGTAGCACAGAATAAAACAGGGCTTTGAAGTTGGGGACACTTTTGTTAGGACTCCCGAGCTGCCACTTCCAAGCTCCAGGACTTTGCCAGATTTCTTCATCTGTAAGCCGGGGACAATATACCCACCTCAAGGAGTTGCCGAGGGCACTGAATAGATCCTGAATGTGGAAAGCACAGAAGCACCCCGAGTGTGGGCTGTCCCCAACTGCACGTGTATTGGAGCATGTATGGGGGCTGCGCATGCAAGAGTGTGGGCAGGTGTGTGACTGAGAATGAGCACCCACCGGCGTCTGCAGCTCGAGTCTGTTTCCATGAGACATTGGGCCTCTGCTTTCTTTTCAAGGTCCGTTAGGTGAAATTCTGGTATGTAAGCATTTCTGCCCATGGCTCCTCCAAATCTTTCTGAATCATTTCTTTTTGCTGTGGTGGAGAGTGAACCCAGGACCCCAAGCATGCCAGGTAAGTGTTCTATCACTTAGCTACATCCCCTGCCCTGAGAACGTTTTTTTTCAAGATGACCTCCCTTCTAAACTTCTCAAAGGGGTCTTTTATTCCTGCCTCTTGGTGCACCTCAAGTCTCTCAGTCTCTCATTGCCCCTGTAGGGAGAGGAACTGAGGGGTCCTTCTTCCCACAGCTGGGAGATTGCTGCTGCCTGGTCTTTTTTTTGGGGGGGGGGGGCTGCTGGCTTTCTTCCCATCAGTCTCACACTGTACTCTGGCACCCCTTGGAAAGTTCACATGCTTCTTGGAGGCATCAGTGTGTGTGTGTGTGTGTGTGTGTGTGTGTGTGTTGGGGGTGGGGGAAGGGGTGGGACACAGCAAAGACGTCTCCAAATCCTCAGTTGCTTTAAAGGAAAGCCTATATTTAGCTGGGCTTAGAGGAGCCTGTAAATATGTATTTTGCAACGTTGTAGTTGTAGCCATGGAGCTCTAGAGACATGCAGAGAGGTCAAGGGGGGGAAAAAAAAGGAGCAACAAGAAAGATTAGGCAATATATTTTGTCATCAGCGAAGCCAAGGAGTTTCTATTGCTTCAGCTGCTAAGAACTCACATTTCTGTGTTTTGATGGCTACTATTTTTCGTCTGCTTTCTGGACCATGTGCAAGGAAGAGACAACTTTCAGAGTCACCTTCTCCCATAGGCCTTTGCCCCCCACCCTCCCCACCCCCGCCTGACTGGCTCCACCAGGCTCTGCTGGGCTCCCATGGGACCTGGCACAGGTTCAGTCTCCAGAATGCCACCTTTTGCCCCTCCACCTTAGCCCCTGCTCTTCGAGTAGCCTGGGGAGGAGGGGGCAGAGAGTGGAAACATAAAAGCAATCATGTTACTTTGGGATTATTCTCCTTCACCAAACTCTATTTTCTAATCAAGTTTTTTTTTTCTTCTTTTTACTTTTAGTTTGAACATTGTCTTGGAAAACAAGGAAAGTTCAGAAAACAGCATCACAGCAGAATTTACAAATGCTCATATTGGGTCACGTTTGCTTCGGGTTTGTCCATGTAAATGATATTAATTTGGGAGGCTGGGGAGTTGACTCGGTCAGTAAAGTACTTGTTGTGTAAGCATGAAGGCTTGAAGTCCATCCCCAGAACCCAAGTGAAAACCACGCCAGGTGTGGTGGCCCCTGCTCGTCATCCCAGAGCTGGGGAGGCAGAGAGGGAAGAACCCTCAGGGTTTAGAAGCCAGCTGACCTGGCTGGGCGGTGGTGGTACATGCCTTTAATCCCAGCACTCAGGAGGTAGAGGCAGACAGATTTCTGTGAGTTTAGGCCAGCCTGGGCTACAGAGCCAGCCAGTTCCAGGACATGCTCCAAAGCTACACAGTGAAACCTTGTCTCGAAAAAAACCAAAAAAATAAAAATTTAAAAAAAAAATAGAAGGAGCCAGCTAGCCTACCCTACTGGGGGCTAGTGAGAGACCCTGTCAAGAAAAAAGAAAAAGAAAGAAAAAGAAAAAAAAGAAAGAAAGAAAGAAAAAAAAGAACAAAACCCAAACCAAACTGCAAAGGTGTTTTCCATCTTCTCCGATGGAAACTCTGTCTCCGAGCACAGTAACTCCCTAACTCCCTCCCCCTGCTGTCCCTGGCAACCACTTGTATCTGTGTGAACTTGACTCCTCTAGGTACGTTATGTAAGCATCATAGAGAATCTGTCCTTTTGTGCCTGGCTTATTTTGCCTGGTTTACATACATTGTAGCAAGTGCCAGCCCATAATCTCCCCTCTTTCCCATGCATTTCCATATTCATGGAACAGTAGTGCTTTCTGAGTCTTTACATCCTGTGTAACAATAGCAAACGCTGTATTTGTACCTTCGCCCCCCCCCCGAGATTTTTGACAGTGGGTCCCTATGTGTGCTTATGTCCGTGGTGTGTACATTTTAATTTCCGTTTGTCATTTTGTCATGTGACTAAGTCACACTGTAGATCTTGCCAGTTCACCTACCGACAGTGTTTGGGTGGCATCTGTTTTTTGCTGTTCTAAGCAGGGCTGCAGTGACACATCCTGGGATTTTATCTGAACCCATTCGGGATGTTACCTAGAGACAGAAAGTCAGGTCTTTTGCTAGGGTGGTTGAACTTTGAACTTGGCCATCATGCCACGATGTTCTCTATAGCTGATGAATCCCCATTCTTCCTCCCACGACCAGCAACTGTACAAGACCACATCTTGCCGACATTTGCTGCCCCACTCCCACCTTTTTTGAGGCACGGTCTTACTATGTAGTCCTGATTCACCAGGAACTCACTATCTATACTACGTTGGCCAAAAACTCAAAAGTGCCCTGCCTACACTTGCTTCCTAGGCTGGGATTAAAGGGGTGTGTTACTATGCCCAGCTTCTACACGGTTTTTTTTTTTTTGTTTGTTTGTTTGTTTGTTTTGGTTTTTTGAGACAGGGTTTCTCTGTGTAGCTTTAGAACCTGTCCTGGATCTCACTCTGTAGCCCAGACTGGCCTCGAACTTACAGAGATCCACCTGCCTCTGCCTCCCGTGTGCTGAGATTAAAGGCCTGTGCCACCACTGCCCAGCTTACACTTTCTTTTATTTGTGTGTACGTGTGTACATGATGGATGTGTGTACTTACATGGTGTCATCCCCACCAAGGCTATCCACTTCTTTTGAGATAGGGTCTCTCATTGGCCTGTAGCTCATCGGTTAGGCTAGACTAACTGGTCAGTGAACCCCAGGATCCTCCTGTCTCCACCTCCCCAGTTTAATTACTAGCATGTGCCACCATGCCTCTCCCCCACTTTTTGAAAAATAGAAGTTCTGGGGATTGAACTCAGGTCCTCATGATTGCAAGGGAAGCACTTTAACTTCTTATGTTTGCTAGTCTGCTGGATGGGACATAGCTCACCTTAATGTGCGTGACCTGACTGAGGTAAAGCACGTTTACTGAGCTCATTGTCCATCTGGGTTTCCTCTGGATAGATCACTTCAGTCTGTAACCTTAGCTATCCTATAGTTGCTTTTGATGGATGCTATAAAGAGCCTCATGGAGGGGCACCCTTGTCAAAAGCTGGAGTGGTGGCACACACTTTTAAGCCTACTGCTACAGAGGTGGAGACAGACAGACCCCAGTGGCTCATCAGCCAGCCAGGTGCCAGTGAGAGACTCTGTCCCCCAAAAATGACATGAGTGATGGCTGGAGAGATGCTTAACAGCACTTCTTTCTCTTCCAGAGGACATGGGTTCAATTCCCAGCACCCACATAGTGGCTCACAACGTCCGTAACTCCAGTTTCAAAGACTTCTCTTCTGAACTCTGTGGGCATGAGGCACACATGTGGTACACAGACATACATGTGAGCAAAACATTTATCCACGTGAAATAAAGTAAATAAATCTGAGAGAGAGAGGTGGGGGTGGGGGTGGCCGAGAGGAATGACTCCTGAGGAAGAAAACCCAAGATCAACCTCTAGTCTCCACACATACAAACTCATACATGCGCAGAGAGAGAGAGAGAGACAGTTGAGCAAAAGTGATTATCTTCCATATCAAGATATCCTAGAGTTGAAGCCAAGAGTGGTGGAGCAAGCATTTAATCCCAGCACTTGGGGGCAGATCCAGGTGGATCTCTAAGTTCGAGGCCAGCCTGGTCTATATAGTGAGTTCCAGACAGCTAGAGCTACATAGTGAGACCCTGCCTCAAAAAAAAAAAAAAAAAAAAAATGTAAAAGGAAAAGGAAGGAAAGAAATCCTAGAGTTCGTTAGTTCAGAGACTCAGCTGAGACATCAGGATGCAGATTCTTCCATCTTTCTTTTCCGTGTTCCTTTCAGGAGGGTAGATGTCACTCATCTGCTAACACCTAAGTTAGCTTGGCTCTTAAACTGCCCCCCCATCAATGAGTGGTTCCAAGATGACTGCCTCAACTCCAGGTATCTCACACAAGCAACAATGTGGAGATACCCAGAGGCAGAAGACAGTAGTAGATGCTTTTCATTTTAGAGTCTCTCCCAGAGCCACTTCCATTAAATAATCTTCCTTTCGTGCTTGGTGACCAGAAGTCTACACATGCCCATCCTCAAACCAATCATTGGCCAGAGGAACAAAATCGTTGCTATATTTTGACCAATCGTAGTTCATGGATGGGACTAGGGAAGGGCCATCCATCCCCAAAGCCCGACAGACAGCCTGACTCAGTTCAGTGTTCTGGGATGGAAAAGAGAAATGGTGCCATTTAGAATGCACTCAAGATCAAACTCATTATGTAGACCAGGCTGGCCTCAAACTTAAGGGATCAGCTATCTCTGCCTCCAGAGCACTGAGACTAAAGGTGTATACCACCATGCCTAGCCCTGGTCTGTTTTTTAAAAAAGTATTTTTAAGCTGAGTGGTGGTGGTAGTGGTTGTTGTTGGTGCACCCCTTTAATTCCAGCACTTGGGAGGCAGAGCCAGGTAGATCTCTGTGAGTTCAAGGCCAGCCCAGGCTATAGAGTGAGTTCCAGGACAGCCAAGACTACACAGAGAAACCTTGTCTTGAAGCAAAAAGGAAAAAAGAAAAAAACTAATTTTAGTGCTGGGGATTGGCTTGGCATACGCTAGGCAAGCATTCTGCCACTGAGCTACATCCCTAACCCCTGTGGTTTGAGACCGGGCATCACTGCTTACCCAAGGCTGGCTTAGAGTTCCCAACTCTTCTGCTTCGGCATCGAGAGGGCTGACTTCTGGGAAGTCTTTCTGTACTCTGAATACTAACCCTTTATCTGTTTTATGTGTCCCCAACATTGCCACCCAGGCTGTTCCTTGTCTTTCTACTTCGTTCATAATGACAATTTTATAATAGAGGCTTTGGGGGGTGGCAGTAATATAATAAAAATCAATCTTTTCTGAATTGTGTCTCTTATGTAAGAACTGCTTTCCTACTCTCAGATTGCCTACATTTCCTAATTATTTTAAAGTTCTGTTCTTCACTTTGAGATCTTTAATCCATCTGGAATTAATATTTATGGATGGTGTA